TTGAATTATTGGTTTCTTCGCTAAGTTGACAACAAAGAGAGTGTTGTCTAAATCGGTTTTCTTTGTGAGGTAACTATGGGAAATTTTGGTTTATTACATTATAACAACAATTCAACTGAATAATGGGTCATGAATTGTGTTTTTGTTTATAATTAAGAAATTTCTTTGAGAAGGGAAAGGCTTTGTATATACATGTATACATTGATTGTGAAATTTTGGGAGAAATTACTGCCGATTACTTTTGAACAAGTTGGCAAAGATGTCAGTTTTTCATCCGCTTCCAATTTCCTGTCAAATAAACTAATCCATAGAGCAGTTTCTTTCTAATTCGCTAGAAACACAGCAATTTGATAATTATTTTATCATATAGAGGACAACGATTGCACATTTCTTGGTAGCTTCGCTGTCAAACTTGTGAAGAAGGCAATTACAGCCGAAAGTTGGATTTTTTCAGCTAATGTGACCAGATAGAGTGGATGTGGAAATCCGAATAGAGTACATTCTTCAGTTATTTTCCCTATTTCGAGGGTTTTGAATGCTTTACGGACCCTCTAGGTTCATTATGAACCATTCTGCGTCACTATCCACATACACCCTGTCTTGATTAAAAAAACACAATTTGACGACGCCTTGGAATAACAAGGCGGACCAATCATAATAGAACTGCGAAAAAAAGCATACGATTTCCCTAAGAAAATTTTTAATTTTAGAAATACTAAAATACTTACTAAACCAGGACCTTAATCTTAAGCGAGAGTAAAATTTTATGACTGCGAAAGCAATAAATGGGCAATTTTTATGGCCAGCGGTCCTTAACAAAGGAGCTGAACTTCAAGATGTTTATTTCAAATGGCAGGCGTTTTGATGGATATCATTAGCCATTTAGCTGACTTCGGGCTTCACAGAGGGAAGGTTCATCAAAGTAGCAGAAAGCCGAGGGGTGGGGAAGAGAAGAGCGATTCACAAATGCAAAAGAGGCAGACAGACACAAAGGTAGAGAAAAAGGTAAGGTAAGTACTGTGGAAGGGGTCGAATATGACAACCAGGGGGGTCGTGGTAGTTTGAAGTGAGAATTCAACTGCCGGTTAATAGACTTTTTTGCCGTATGAGTATACGTTGCCCAGGGTGCACCACGTGGAGTTAAGTCTATCGCGCACAATAGGCTAATATCGATTTCATTTAAGTTAACATTGATATATATATGTATTTGTTTTCAATGAATCATAAAATTTAATAAAATGTTTTAATATTAACTGTTCCAACTGAATGCATTTTTTCATCCAAATCATTCTTTCCTGCAACACATGAAATAAGTCAGGGGACGCATAAAATCTAATTAGGAGAAAATTCAAACTAAAGAGGCAATTGACGAATTTTGACCCCGAATGTACCCTTCGTCCCATAAATCATCTGTTAAGGTTAATTTATTATTTTTTTGAATCTCCTGGAATTTTGCAATGGAGGTAAACACTGACAAGATGTGAGCGGCAAACGCACCATACCCAGCTTTTCATTGGGTCGCATTCATAGGGGACCGGTTGATCCGGCAATTTAGGCTGATCTTTCCAATCATTCACATCTTAGAATAAGTCTGTTTTGAAAACGCAACTTTCGCCGTGAGAATTTGTCTCACCTCATCTGCCTTAAATTATCTTCTATATGATAACAAATTGGTTTATGTCAAGAGTTTGAGGGGCTTAAATCGGTCTCTTTTCCTCTCTCACTCTCTTGCTTACTTGCTAATTAACAGCTGCTGTTGCTGGTAAAAGACGTCTAAATTAATTGTTTTCAATGTGGGGATCTTAGTTTAGAAACCAGTCTCCTACGCCCCTCCCCCTCTCCCACCCCACCACACACCCCCTCCTCACTTATTAATGAAATAAAATAAGTTTCCAAATTTGAGCCGCCGTTCTGGAGCGTTCCAAGTGAGAAATGTTTTTTTTCCCATTTTGCATGAAACTGGAAATGATTTCCAGTTGAACGGGACACGTCTTGAAACCCTCCGTAAATTGTTAGAACTGGGTAGTGAGTTGGGCGCATGATGAATATGTTCTCAACTGAGATTGACTTAGTAGAAGGTGTCGAGAGGCCACAATTTATTCTTTTATTTATATCAAATGGCAGGCGTCTTGATGGTTATCATTAGCCCTTTAGCTGACTTCGGGGCTACACAGTGAGGAGGAGGAACATCAAAGTGAAAAAGTCGAGAGGGGGGGCAGAAGAGCGATTCACAGATGTAAAAGAGACAGACAGACACAAAGGCAGAGAAAAGGTAAGATGAGTACCGTGAAAGGGATCGAATATGACAAATAGTCTTGTCATGGTAGTTTAAATCAAAAGTCAACTGCTAGTTTGATAGACTTTTTTTGCCGTATGAGTAAACGTTGCCCAGGGTGCACCACGTGGAGGTAAGTCTATCCTACACCCCAAATTCAAGATGCATTTATAAGTTGACAAAATGTAGGGCGAAATTATTTTATCATCACTTTTTGAATTGTATGGAAGCATTTTCGTTGAGAGTGAACGGTGAAACTAAGCTACAAAGTGCTTAAATTTCCAAGCCTCTTGAACCATGAATTAGTTCTTTATGCTTTCTCAGCATTTCTACATATATATATTCTGTAAAAAGTCTACTTGAACACTGTTTGCTGAAATACCATCTACGACTTCCAACCATCGCAACATAATGGAAAAGATGGAACTGCAAATCTTGAAACGAGATCAAAGAAGGTAGGAGATTGTATATCTCCAGCAGTGCTCTCAATAAATCTTATCGATTGATGAGGAAATAAATAAGAAATTAATAAATGTCTAGGTAAATCATTATCTTGAAGTATTGCTTTAATTAAAACAAATTCGTCGCTTATGCTCCACGCTCTCCTACTCCTAAAACCCAAAAATCTCAAAATTTCGAGTTGCTTTTGACATACTTACATGTTAAATACCAATCGGTGATAGTGGCTAATCCTCGTTCGCCAAAGGGATATCTAAAGTCGGATGTTATTCAGCTGAGACACGAACTACTATAACATCCTGCTTTCCCATCGATATGAGGGCCGAGAATGGGTTGATCCAGATAAAATTCAACCAGATGAAGAAAGAATAAACATTTAACTCAATAGGTAAGATCAGAATACAAAATTTACACTGAAAACTCCTGAAAAGGCGAGTTACAGCTGGTTACGTTGTGAATCTTTCTAGACACTCGCCCCATCATAGGACCTAATTCGACTTTGATTGATGCCATGTGTGCTAGTGAGGAAATGGGTAACCTGAATCTTTATGCGTAGCTTCGAATTAGTTAGCGCAGTGACATTGCATTTCTCTTTGATTGAGATAAACATGCAAACTGCTACGAGAACAAATTATACTGAGAGATAGGATCAAGAATACGCTCATTTTTCAATTTAGGTATCGCCCAGATTCTACTTGAAACACATTCACAACACTTTGGAAATCAATATAATATACTATGATTATATGTATTTCCGAATTAACGCTAGTTCGATTTTTTTATTTTGAATGAGAAGAAATCGGAATAATCCTGACCATTAACAAAATTGTTGATTTAAATGCGAAAATATTGGTTAAAATAACGGGATTTCGGTTGAATACACACATTGATAAAACAGTGCATAATAAAATGATGAGCTATAAGGATATAAATCGTCATTCAGTATTTTTAAAATGTATGAAACTTGGAAAGAAATCAAAAGAAATAGGAAAGTACTACGATTGATTGGAAGCTGTTATCGTGTCGTTACGATCATAATCCACCACCCCTAGAGGGAACCACGAAAATGCTTGAACAAACAAGTGCTCAATTTTCTCTTATGTCTGTCTGAGTGGTGTACTCAGAGTTGTGGAGTGAGAGGGGAGGGGGGAGGGGGGTGTACGACACTGTGGTTCAGCACGGCTGTTAGCCTGCTTCTAACTTGAGTGGATGAAATTGCTTAAACAAACTGTTCAATTTGAAAATGAGAATAATAATGAGAATGACTGTTGAACATAGGGTGCGCGATAGACATACCTCTACATGGTTCATCCTGGGTAACTTATACTCATACGACAAAAAAGTCCATAAACCGGCAGTTAAATTCTCACTTCAGACTACCATCACCCCAATGTATGTCATATTCCATCACTTTCACAATACTCACCTTACCTTTTTCTCTACCTTTGTGCCTGTCTCTTTACATCTGTGAATCACTCTTCTGTTCTCCCCCCCCCCCTCTCCACATTTTGTGACTTATATGTTCCTTCCCTCTGTGAAGCCCGAAATCAACTAAAGAACTAATGATAACTATTATAAAGTCCGTCATTTGATATAAATAAAAAAATTATTGCACATAGAGCCATTGAAACTTGAAGTGCCTCAAACGGATTTGTCAGAAAAGCTGTTACCCTTCATTTGCAAATGCTGAATCCCATCACTGTCCTAATTGGCAGATGGAGTTGCTCTATTGGTTGCTAAATAGAAAATTAACTTAACTAAAAGGATTCTTGTTTCTAGTAACAGCTCCACTATTTTTTCTTTTCATGGCGACTTTTCTGATTCGATAATTAAATTTCCAATCCTTCTCCTCAATAGTCACTATTTTATTCCACTTATTAGTTAGGTCTGATAGACTCCTGACCTTATTTATTTTTTAGTCCTAGGGGAGAATAATTAAGTGGGAAAACTGACAGATTTAAGTTTCAATTGACCTTATTAGAAGAAAACAGTCTCCAAGATTCATGAGATGAGAAGGATTTATATGGTTGATCTAAAAAGCTAAATCTCGATCCTTGGCACTAAAGCAAAAAGAACCTTTACTAAATGATCAATTTTATTAATGTTTGAGCCCATTTTAATGCCAAATCGAACTGACATAAATTTCCATTTCATTTTGAGGTCATTTTCGTAACTGTACATCCAAGTATAAAAATAAGTTTTTCCAGTTTTCCATATCACAGGTTGTTGGAAGACCTGCTGATACGCAACGACGTGTGACAGGGGCCTAACCATAAATCTCCTGGGCCCCAATAAAGATTCCTCTTAGCTTTGAGCGCATATCTACAAGTCTTTGATCCACAGAACACGCGGAATCCTCAAAGCTCAACTTGCTTGTCATCAAAGGGCATTCTTCCTCTAAAGCTAACTGCTCTGAATGTTCTGCTGAAAGCATTCTCCAATTTCCCAGGATAATTTCAAAGACCTGAAGAGAGAGAAAAAAACATTGTTTATGATTTTTTGATAGCTCAAAAGGTATCTCTTACTCGATTGAATTTCTTGGTATCCTCGATTTCGAAATCTATAAGAGATGGTCCAATACTGGTGGCAACACAATATGCAGAACATTTATTCGTTTCCTGATTATCAATAAGTCTGCGAAGGTGATTTAAAAGAAATATTAATGTTGAATATCTGCGGCTGTTGTAGGATGGTGTCTTCTCTATATCTGCAATGGATTCTCCACTCAAACTCCTTCGAAGCTATGAATATAGTCAGTAATGTAAGTGCTGCCAAAAGTGACTTACACGTTGGAATGTGGGTTGAATATACTTCAGTCCCAAGGGTCGTGGGACTTCTTTTGTCTTTGTGATTTGCTCCCGGGCTCTGGATTTCATCTTCGAAAGGCCGAAACATTAATTAGGAAGAAATTGTGGTAAGTAAAAGTGAAATAGGACTCACTTCTTGCAAGTTAATTCTAACGGCCTCAAGTACCGCTTGGTAGCTCTTCTCAGTCAACGGAATATCCTCACTTGGAACAATATCAACAATTGGCTTCCACTCCTCTAGATTTCCAGATTGCAAATTACTCTCATAACATTATTACCTGGATAGAGCAGAGATTCTGGAAGGTAGCGGAAAAATCGTTTGATTGCCGCAGCTATAACATGCGGGTGTTCCCAACATTCCAATTTGAGCACTCTTTCGGGATTTATCTTTCCCTGCGATTAAAAATTTAAAAAAAGGTTGTTTATTACAGATGACTCAGTTGACTTTGGCGAAGAAAAACTTACAGAATCTGCAACGAGGACTAATTCGTTGATCATTCTTTCGCTTCCACATTTTCGATATAGACCTTCATGATGCAGTCCGTGTGATTCCAGCGCCGTGATGGTGAGATGAAGAAACAGGGGAACATGCTAGAAATTTGTTAAAAAGCTTTCAAGTGAAAATGCGAGGCTTACTTTGAAGTCTGGGCTGATAATCTGGTCCTTAAGACCAACTTGAAACACTTCACCAGAGCGGATTGGAGCCTGTGATGATTTCCTACCGAAGAAAGATCTACTCCTTCTTCTGTTGGAACCACCTGATGCATGAATAATGGGAAAGTTGTGGTTAAGCAGCCTTGATGAATAGAAACTATCTCCACATATGTGGTGGTATTCAACTTATAAAACAATCAACTGCGCAAAATGATACAGCAGTAGGTCTCACTGGGATTGGGGGAAGTTAAACCAAGAGCGCTTTCACGGAAAGCCACCTATTGTTAGTATATTATGAAGGGGGAGGTGAGGGGGTGTATATAACGGCACGTAGAGAGAGAGAAAGGGCAATTGAAAGCATATCTCAAATCCACAAATTCAAGTTGCGTAAAATGTGGCTAACTGCCTATAATCTTGGCGTAAGTAAGGTCTTCGTTTCGACTTTTTTCCCAAAACTAGTATGATTGTCAACATAATCATTATTTGGATTGCCTTCCAGTCCAATGAGGACCGGCTGAAATAACAAAACTTCTGCAGTGAAGTGAAATTTATTAAATTCAATGAAGTAAAAAACCTAGAAAATAGCTGTTGAAATCTAATCGTTGAATGAAAAGAATTTAACCTTTACACCAAAAGGCGGGGGGGGGGAGGGTGGGTGAAAATATTGATTTCTTTTAAACGAAGCGTTAAGCTTATTGCAATATCGATTATAATACAGGATCAGTTAGTCATCATATTCACACTCATCGGCTCGGTGGTGTTCAGCTTTGAGGTTAACTACGATGAATATTCCAGGTAATCAAACTAAGCCAGTACAGCTAAATCCAATACTTCCTGACCAAGTAAATCAATATATATATATATATATATATATATATATATATGACATTTGGATCGTTAAGTTGTACTTGGCAATTTCGCCTCTCGTCAACGCTAACCGATGTTCTGAAGCAGCACTGATCACATTAATACAACTTTTATAGATGCGAAGACAAAAATTCGAAGTTTCAAAATCCCCGTACACATCGAATGATCTGCCAAAAGACTAGTAGAATAACCACAATCCTTTTCAAAATAAAACGGAAGACAGTAAGGGAATTTTAATTTTAGGTGAGAACGCAAAAACTCCAGCCCTGAGCAAGTGAAACCCGCTGGTGGGATAAAATGGGCCTATTAAAGTACGGCAGGGGAATTGAAAGTTCATACTTTCTCTTCAGAGATAGGAAGGACTAAAGTACGTTCACGTTTAATGTTCCCTATTAAGGGTACTTGACTATATTTCCAAAACTGACGCTATCAGAAGCTATATTTAGGTCATTGTTCACACAAGGTACGTATTTAGTTAGAGATAAAAAACTCTTGGTATTCACATTCTTGGCTTTAGTTGCATCTTGTGTATCAAAGATATCATTTTTATAAACAGGTGTTCGAATGGGAAATAGAACAGTTACTGTATCACTTACAATCTCAGCTAGACCAAATCCAATAGTGTAGAAGGAAAGTAAATATACTTACTAGGAGTTTTGCTTCGTGACCTAGAACGGATCTTTTCTAACAATGAACTACTTCCTAGCAGAGATCGGCTTCTTTCGCTCTTGGGTGTACCTGTAAAAGAATCAGGAAAGTAGTAATATAGATAATAAATTATTACTCATTTTCCCCCTAAGCAAACACCAGTGCTTACTAGTAGTGTCATGTCGGGACTTGCAAACACTAAACTTAGTTTCGGATGTGCGTATCCTTGGAATCTTCAAGGATGTTTTCTTTGGAGTCGACATCTTAGGACCTGCTCTTCTCTTCTTCTCCAGACTATCACGAAGGCTATGAATGCTTCTAGCCATATTTTCATCCTTAAACACCACAAGCACAGAAAATCCACCGTGAGATTTGCTCTTGAGCAAAAATTGGGGCATTTTGCTGGCAGCTTTGGAGGCAGATTCTTCTAATATCTTGGAATATCGCGCCTGTTGCATTTCCGGCGATAGGGGGGAAGTCAGCACTGTTTTAATTGGTTGGAAATCAGTTTGAAATATTTGCAAATGTTCTGTTGGTATTTCGATGGTTGGTCCGGAGAGATTATAACTTCCAAAATCCTAAGAGGTGGAAGATATTGATTATTATAAAAAGTTGCTAGATCTTACGATGTAAGTATCCACAGGTGACTGGATGAATGTTATCAGCTTGCTTCTTATGAATAAAAAGAATTTATTCCATTTGAGAGGTTCGAAATATTTACCATTCAGCATGATCAAAAGACATTCTACTGGGTAGTGCATGTTCGTTGTATGGATCATATTTAAATCAAAAAGAGATAATTATTCCAAAAATAGACGAAAGTGAATAAAATAGGGAAATCTTTAAGAGAAAATAATTATGGTTTGAATCAGAGAGCGTGAAATTAAAATTTGATCTAAATTAAGAGTAAATATCTCCTGCTGAGCTGCTTTCACCGAGTAAATCTCCAAAGCTCCACTGCGGTAAAACGATTATTGATTAAACATGGTCTTAGCATCCACATAGCATCAATTAAGAGTAATATCAACTCAAAAATTTAGCAGCTATCTTGAAACAACCCTCTTGGTTCATTTTCCATCGTAGGTCATCAATATAATAACGGCGGTCTTAGTAATTCTTTATAAATAAGCTATTTTAAAACAGTGCAAGTTAGGTTGGAAGAACATAAAGTCAAGAAGAATTTTGGAAGGTAGATATAGAAGACAAGAATCACAAGGGACAAGAGGAAGTGGCAGCTTTTTTGACCTTTCAAGAAGCATTAAATGAGTATACCGATTAATATATTTCGTAGCTAACCTATCTTCCACGCTTAATCGATTCATCACTCTGCATACAGACAGCTAAGTTCGTACTGGTGCGAGTTTGCCAATTTAGTTTCCGCAGGAACATTATTTAATAGCTCTACATCAATCCATACTACTTTGACTCATTCCCGAATTTCCTGTTTTGTCTATTCCATTTTCAAGTACTTTAGTAGTGAGAATTACACTGATATACCTCATCACCTTCCAGTTTGTTGTTTGCGTGATTTTGCGAAGTGCACTACCAAAAAGCACGGTTGAATTAAGTGATCTCGTGTGCATTCGAACATTGTGGAACATGCAGCCGAGCTGCTGATCACGTTAGGGTGTAAATGGGGCCATGAGCACAGAGGCCCCACAGCCAATCAACAATCAGTAGTCATTACAGGGTCAGCTTATCCAAAATGAATTTAATGAATAAGCTCTGCACCAGTGCCACCATAATCATAGCCATCACAACCTCAATAAACCCATTCCACATCATGCGTTTTGCTTCCACGAATTGTTGGGTTAGGTCGGCTAATTTTGAGTGCAGTTCCACACTAGGAAGTTTTGACATAGATATTGATGTGGTTTAGTCATGACTTATTCGTGTAGCAATCGGCATTTGATTGTACAGCGTCCTATCCCAAACCATCATGAGGTGTGCAATAGACTTACCTCCACGTGGTGTACCAGGGGTAAAGTATACTCATTCGGCAAAAAATCCATAAACTGGCAGTTGACCTCAGACTTCAAACTACCATGACCCCATTGTATGTCATATTGGACTACTTCCACAGTACTCACCTCACCTTTTTTATACCTTTGTGTCTGCCTCTTTTACATTTTTGAAACATTCTTCCTTCCTCCCCACCCCTCTCGACGTCTGTCACTTTGATGTTCCTCCTCCTCTCCGTGAAGCCCAAAGTCAGCTAAAGGGTTAATGATAACAATCAAAACGTCTGCCGTTTGAAATAAATAAATCCCAGGCCACTATTTATTCCAACATTATTATATTTTCCTAGTCTTAGTTTGTTTCGGAGTCTCAAAGAAGTTTGAATAGGGTTGAATTTAGTAATTTTTACATATTCAACGTGGTTGTTTTTGAAGTGGCAATAAATAAGGGAAATTCAGCAATTAAACGAGTGCAAATATGCCCACGAAAACAAATTTTGTAAAGTTCCCAAACCCACTCAAACGTGGCATTTAAAAACCTGTAAAAACCAAATACAAGAATTCTGTGATTCTAATTTGTTTTACTTAAAGATATCGAAACAAATTATTTGCACAAATAGGATAAACATTTGCATTTGCACTTTTAATCGATTAATGCTATCTAAATCGCACAAAAAATTAAAAGATTCCAGTTTTCTCACAATTTAGATATTGTTAAAAATTGCAGTGTCTTGCAATAAACTTTATCATTTAGTGCCTTTGCAATAGGTAACTTTCGATTTAAAGTAAATTAACAAAGGATATAAGACTGGAAGTCTTGACTTAGATTCGGGAGTTATGATAGAAATTTCTTTTAACTGGTTTCAATCATTCCAAAATATTTACTTACCACGGTTTATTTTATTGATTTTTTAAAACCTATTTCGGTAATGCATATCGAATCGGAATTATTTTTAAAGCTGTAAAGGGGTAGATACGGAAGCTATCACTAGTCACTTACCAATCAATTATCAATCAATAAGACATTAGAGGTTGTGACTATACAAGAAAGCATCAATTAATAAATAATTCAATGCTAAGTCTCTTGGATTTGAAGCTATTGAAGTGGTATTTGCACGCCCTCCAGACAAGTCAGAAGGCTTGAGGTCGATTGGTATTTGTTAATTCCTGCCACTATGTATAGGCGCCAGGGCTATATTACCGCGATAAAGAAGTCGTTGGCATTAATATTTTATCTAAGGAGCGGGAAATCTCCTATTCAATAGGCATATTTTTCTCTTCACTTTCAGGATTTTCAAACTGCTTTTTAATTAGAAAGGACTACCCAATAAATATGGCATAATGACTGGATAACAAAAAGAACTAATCATATACCTATCGAATAATCTATCATTTTGCTCGCCGTAAAATTGATGGTAATTGTTTTACTAAAGATTCCTTTTTGATTTCCTTTTTAAAAGATGGGTTAAAACCTAACCAGCATTAAAGAATTATTTTTTTAAACTTTTAATATTTTTGTACTGAAATTACATTGGTCATTTTTCATTTATTTATCCGAAGCCGTGGACTAAAAGAAATAATTATGGTAAATTTATATCTGCTTATCAAGAAGGAAGCTGAGGGTATGCTCATACTGAGAATGAAAGTTGACTCCTTAAGTGATTGCACATTTTCTCCAGCTTTGCAGAAACAAACGCAAGTGCTTCCTATTTATCACCTCGAAATAAGACACGGAAAAAGGTAATTGAAGTGCGCGCGCCAAATGAAATAGAGAAAACATTAACAAAATAATTTCCTCCAATGCTTATGATGAATTTGAAAAAAAAACTGGCTATCTTATTTGTGAACAATATTTAGAAATAAGATTGGGTTAAACAGGTAAAATATTTGGCCACTAATGTAAAAGTGCCAAATCTCGTGCCTATATGGTCGAACCACTGTAAGTAGTATAACACTATTAATTGAAAGCGCAATTATGACAACTTTAATTTTATAAGTCAAAGTACTTGAATAGCTCAGACTCTACGTAGGGAAAGGGAGAAGACTGTAGTTCAAAAGAATATTTTACCCTTAAGAAAATAAAAGGAAATTGTGGAGAATTAGCTGTTCGATTACTTATTGGCTGACTGGTCGACTAATATTGCCAATTATGAATTCTCCATTATAGGCCTTACATGGCCCTATCTGAGCTTAGACATCCAAAGTGCACTGTTCCCTGTGTATGGCATGAACATATGAGTGTGCTGTGGGTCCATTAAGTGTGCCTGATCAAATGTACTAGCATTATACGATTTGGCTTCCTAACCAAAATGTACCATTCCACAAACGGGAAATAAAGGCATTTTTTCACCGAAGTTGCTAGCATAAGAATGCATAACGCATTCCTGACAAACTGAAAAATAAGCCGTAACCTTTATAAATCTTCGGAGAAAACTGGGTCCACGCTCAATATATAGAAATGAATTTATTCGAGATGATGTGGATAAGCCAAAAATTGTTTGTAATTTACCATAAATTATTAATTCAATTTTCAACCATATTCAGTAAGCCCAGACCTTCTGCGAAGAATATTTGGAAATCGGAATATAAAAAAATAACTAGCATATTTCACGTATTCCGATGTCAAAGCATAATAAAGGTTTAAAACTCTACATTTAAAAAGAATCTTACCTTTCCGCTCTTTAAAAAATCAAATAAATTATCAGGGCTCTAGAAAACATAGTAAGTAATTTAAATTTGCTCTATACCTCTTGTTTCCTTATGGCCTTTCAAACCATTGACGATAGGCCTCTGTGTCTCCTGTGATCAAAATTTAACCCGATAGTTAAGTCCATTCCTATAACTCAATTATCTTTCAATTTAGTTGTCAAACTTGCAAGGAGATTTTGAAAATTCATCGTATAGCATACTCTCGTAACCTAGCCCAGTTAGACTTGAATCCACCATCTGACATTCTGAGTCATTTTGGATTTGAAGTGCAAAGTTTAGTAAGGAAAATGGCGTGTGCTTTTGATTGAAAGCTATGCCAAAGTTAAGCAACTTGGGGATTTAAAGAGATGCCATTTAATTGTGAGCTCGCGATTTTATGAAAAGTTACTGATTTTAATCAACTTCTATTCCGGCATTTCCAAATGACAATTAAATTAAATTCTTTGTCTAGACGAAAAATTTGAAATAAAAATGGCGTAAAATATCCATTGTCTAGATTGGCTGTATTTGAGATGTTTACTGGCTTATCACTTTTAAGCAGAATTAATTAAAGTGTTTTTTAAAAAAGTTATTTGTTTATCTCGAATGGCAGACGCTTTGATATTTATCATTAGCCCTTTAGTTGACCTCGGGCTTCTTAGAGGGAAAGTGACATCAAAGTGACAAAAAGTCGAGAGGGGGNGGGGGGGGGGGGTGAACAGAAGAGTGTTTCAAAGATGTAAAAGAGACAGAGGGACACAAAGGTAGAAAAAAGGTGAGGTGAGTACTGTGAAAGTAATCGAATATGACATAGAGTGGGGTGATGGTAGTTTGAAGTCAACTGCCGATTAATAGACTTTTTCCCGAGTGAGTATACGTTGCCCAGGGTGCATCACGTGAAAGGAAGGCAAGTCTAGGTCATTTAGTGGACGCAAAGTAAATATCTTCCCTCTTAATGAATTTGCTTTGTGCCATTATTTAGACATAAGTATGTTTTGGATATTAATGAGAGGAACTGGGGGAATATGCTTTAGTTCTCATGCTGATCTGTGTTACAACGTCTTAATCATTCCACTTTGGACAGATTTCCAGAACTGGTAAGAATTCTTTTTCCT